TTTTTTATAGACGAAAGGTAAATTTCGTTAGTTGGGAAAATAAATCCTTCCAAGAGAAGCCATCCAACTAGAAATAATGAAAAAATAAAAAAACCTTTCGAATATTTTTTTTATAGACGAAAGGTAAATTTCGTTAGTTGGGAAAATAAATCCTTCCAAGAGAAAGCCATCCAACTAGAAATAATGAAAAAATAAAAAAAAAACTTTCGTATCGGATAATAATTCTTCCAAGAGAAGAATCCTTCCAAGAGAAGTATCCGAAAATAAAGAAGGTTGGAAAAATAAAAAAACCTTTCGAATATTTTTTTTATAGACGAAAGGTAAATTTCGTTAGTTAGGAAAATAAATCCTTCCAAGAGAAGCCATCCAACTAGAAATAACGTTAAAAAAATAAAAAACTTTCGTAGCCGGATAATAATTCTTCCAAGAGAAGAATCCTTCCAAGAGAAGTACCCGACTAGAAAATAAAGAAGGTTGGAAAAAATAAAAAAACCTTTCGAATAATTTTTTATAGATGAAAGGTAAATTTCATTAGTTGGGAAAATAAATCTTCCAAGAGAAGCATCCAACTAGAAATAAAGAACGTTGAAAGATAAAAAACTTTCGTAGCCGGATAATAATTCTTCCAAGAGAAGAATCCTTCCAAGAGAAGAATCCTTCCAAGAGAAGTATCCAACTAGAAATAAAGAACATTGAAAAAAATAACTTTCGTAGCCGGATAATAATTCTTCCAAGAAAAGAATCCTTCCAAGAGAAGTATCCAACTAGAAATAAAGATAAAAAAAAACTTTCGTAGCCAGATAATAATTCCTCCAAGAGAAGAATCCTTCCAAGAGAAGAATCCTTCCAAGAGAAGAATCCTTCCAAGAGAAGTATCCAACTAGAAATAAAGAACATTCAAAAAATTTAAAAAAAAAAACTTTCGTTAGCTAGATAATTTAAAAAAAATAGAGGAATCGACGTTGTATGCAATCGAAAGCGTAAATCAGAAAAGCCGAGCATCTGATAGTTGTCTGAAATCTGCAAAATTAAGTTGATGCCCTTGAAGCACCTAAAATTGGACTTTGAGAGTCGAAAAGAATGAACAGAATTCGTTTATTCATTATCGAACGATCATGAAAAAAAAAACTTCATTTTACTCGAAATACGCGCAGGTCAATTAACACGTAGGTGGGTATTATTTCGAGTTATATGGTAAATCTTCAATTGAAAAAGAATCAATCTAACGAGAGCTTTTGAATATAAAACCTTCTTCGAGAAATAAACTTAGAAAAAAACGAACATTTTATTTTGTTTTTTTCTGGGGTATATAACCGTGTTTCTGTTACACAACACCACCTAGATCTTTACCCGATTTAGGGTTCGCTAAAGCGGAACTGACGATCCCAGGTCGTGCAGATCTCAACTAATCAAAATTATCAAATAAACAAGTTTTTTAAAAAAAATTTGAGCGAACTGACCGAATTCGGTGAAAATTTTTTTTATTGAATTCTATAAATCTATAGAATTCAAATAAAAACGAATTTGGTTAGGTGGTTATCGAGATAATTTGACGAAACTTCAATTTTGATAAACGGTTTTTAAGACTTTAGACGAAGATACCACAACAACCACTTGACCAAATTCAATGAAATTATTTGAATTCTATAAATTCATCGAATTCTGCTAGGTGATTATCGGGATATCTTCTCAAAATTTAGAAAAATTTGACGCAACTTTAATTTTGATAAACGCCTTGATTTTTTTAAGACTTTGAGCGAAGATACCACAAC